GGGGGGGGGGGTGGGAGGAGTGGGCTTGGGCCTGATGTGAGGGAGGATTGGGACCAGGCCTGAGGCTGGGGGAGAAGCCAGCCCACCATGGTAGTGGGGGGGAGCCAGCCTTCTCCCCCCTCGGGCCCGGTCTCACTAGTCTTCCCTGCCCCACCCCCCCCCACACACACACACACATTGGCTTCAAGCCCTCTCCTCCTGTTTCCCTGCCACTGCCAGGTCGACCTGGGCCTACTGCTTCCCTCCCCACCCTCTGGCCTGGTCCTTCCCCACATCAGGCCCAGATCTGCTCCTCCCTTCTCACTGTTGCTGGGGGGGGGGCACGAATGGTCCTGGACCCCAGCAGCAGGAGGGAAGGGAGGAGCAGGCCAGACAGGGGGAGGCATGGGGCTCCATCCCCCTCCGCTTTCCCCCCATCATTCTTGACAGGCAATTTGCTAGTAATGAAATAAATTCTAACTAGCTATAGAATCATAGAAGTAGGGTCGGAAGGGACCTTGTAGATCTTCAAGTCCGACCCCCTGCCTGGGTGGGAGAAAAACAATAAATAAATAAATAAAACTGTAAATTTTGATGTTTGATTTTGGGTTTTTTATCATGGAAAATTGGAGCTCCCCCTGTCCCCTTCATGCACCAGGGCGTGGGTCCAGCAGCAGCTGTCCCTGCCCCCCCCTTGTGGTGCTGAGCAGTCCTGATATGCCAGTGCCCTGCCCATGCTGATGCCTCATTCTCCACCCAACCTGCCCCCACCAACCTTGGCAGAATGGGGGCACCAGCTGCAAGAGCTATGGGTACAGGGACCCAGGTCTGAAGCCCCGTGCCCCCCACAGTAGCGCATGACTGCCATCCGTGGGAGGCAGCAGCTGCTGCAGCAGAGTGAAGCATGGAGCCTGCCTCCCCCTCCTCAAGTGGGACAGCCAGAGCAGAACCCATGGGGAGGCAGGGACAGGCTGCCCTCTGTGGACTTGAGGCTCCCCACCCTGCTTCCCTCTCTCCCAGGACCTCCATAGCCCAGCAGACAGGATCCATTATAGCATAGCAGGGCTGGGCAGGGAAGCTCGTTGCTGCTGCTGCTGGGAGTCCAACGCCACCATGCGGAGGCACCTTCTGCCTGCCCAGCAGCACTGGGGTTGGCGGTACAGGGTTGTGCCCCTCACTGCTGCTGGGTGGGCTGGGGGCACCTCACCACAGTGATGCAGAGCTCCCAGCAGTGGCAGTGAGCTTCCCCACCTGGCCCTGCTCTGTCCTGCCACGCCAGGTCCCACCTACTAAACTGCAAAGGGCCTGGGGGAGGGCAGCAGGGTGGTGAGCCCCAAGCCCGCAGTGGGTAGCCTGCATCTGCCCCCACCTGGCGCACACATCTGGAGGGCACATGCCCCCTATTCCACCACCCGGGAGTGTGTGCAGCAGCGAGGAGCAAGCCCTCCTTCCCCCCCCCCTCCCACCCCAGACAAGCTGCCCACAGCCCTGTCCTGCTCCCCACCTAGGCCCTACAGCTGTGCATTCTGGCCCAGAGCCCTAAGCCCCATGCACTACCCTGGCTAGGCAACAGCACTAGCCCAAATCCCTTCCGGCTTCACTATGGGGCCCTCAATTCCCCCTCCCTGACCCCCAGCTTAACTGCAGGAACTGCTCACATGGCTGCTCACATGCATATGGCACCCCTTTCCTGACTGTCCTCCTCTCACTGCCAGCCCACAAGGGGAATCCCACCATTTCCCAGGTTTTCTCCTTAAAATGAGAAAATCTGGGTTTTACTGTGTTTTTTCCATGGCAGATGGGAAATCTTGGGTCCTTGTTTATTAGTAAACTTATCACAATATAGTGCTTGTAACTACTATAAACTTAAGTTGTTACCAGTGAATTAATATTTTATCACGTTCCTCTGGTCACAGATGTTTCCATTGTACAGAGGATGTTGGACTAATTCAGTGCATCTTAGCTTAATAGCAAGTTTGAATTTTTATTGCAGGTTGACTGGATTTTGGACAAATGTACAAGTTTCCATAATTTAGTTTCAGAAGGACTTACTGTATTCTGTCATTTATGATTCTTGTTAAAAGAATATTACAAAGCACTCTCCTAGAATATAGGAAATCCATGGTTAAATTCTTCTTCTGGTTTGATTTCCCCAGTCTCTCCCCCCTTCAAATGAGTGCCTTTAATACAGGGGTTTTCAACCTTTTTTAATAAGTGTACCCCTGACAACCAGACGTAGAGCAGGGGGCAGTGTGTGGCCGAACACGGAACAGCGGCATGAGACAGTAGATGGCAGCAGCCGCTGTGTGCACCCTCCTTCACCCCCACACCGCCAAAAGCGTGTCTGATCACCCAGGTGGCACCTGTGCGGCTTGCAGAGGGGCGCCACTGCCTTTGCCCTGGCCTGGCCCAGCACTGCTCCTGGGAGCTGGCAGTGATGGGTGACAGCACTCCATCCCCGCCTGCCTGCATGTACCTCCTAGGGCCTTCCCAAATATCCCTGTGTGTACGCATACCCCCAGTTGACAACCCCTGCCTTAATAAATAGGATATTAGTAGCAACAAGGTGGATCTTTTCCAATGTCATTTTGTGTAGCTGTTTCACTTGGTATAAATTGGAGCAGGGACTTTGTTCCTTCCCCTCCCCTAGTGGGTGCATGTCCTTTCTACTGGACAGTAGTTTTTGGTCTCTGTCTGATCCCATGAATATTTATAGTAAGTGGAACAGCTCGAAAAGCAGATTAGGGGCTTTTCCAGCCCAAAATACCAGTAACGTAGTGAATAAAGCACTTGCTAGGAACTTGGGAGTTGTGGAATCAAGTTCCAGCTTTGAGCAATAGAACTTCTCTCATGCCCCAGATGAGAGCTGTAGCCATTACATTATCTGAGCATTCTGACCTAAGATGTGCATATCTTTGTATGTGGAGATGGGACCTAGGTATGTAAATCCATGACAGGATTCACAATAAGAATCTCTTGAAATAGTGGGCATCTATATTCCTACCTGCCTCTTCTGCATTTTACTTTTGATTAGCTTAGCTGGCTTACTGCTCAGTTTACTTCTGAGGATCCCTTCTTTATGAACCCACTCTCCTTAGGTATTTTTATGGGGAGCCCAGGAGTCCAGTTTGGTTCTAGGCCACCTAATGGCTAAGTATTGAAACTGTATTTTGTGGTGTCCAAGTACCTTCTGGGGTTCTAGCCTTAAAGTGGTGCTTCCTAAGCGGGTTGAGTCAGACTGTGCTAGTTTGTTTCTGGGGGCTTGCAACTTCACTTGGAGTCATGGAACCGGAGCCATATACAGACATTCAGTTTCTCCTGGGAGAGTCAGTGCACTCCCAGGAGAAATCACAAGCGTGCAGATGTTCAGAATTTTTTTCCCAGAGCAAAAAAATCCTGTTCCCGGAGAAAAATAATGTGGGAACAGCCAGATTTAAATAACTACCAGGAGAGATTCTTCTGGGAAAGCTGCTGTCTGTAGACATCCTTTTCTGAGAGGAGCCATAGCACAGTACTTCAGTATCCCACCATGCTTTGCTCCAACCCCTGGGAGATAGTGTGTCACTGCCTCCTGCCCTTTTGCCTTCCCAATCCCATTCTGTGCTGCAGGGAGACGGGCTGCCCCTGAGCAGTCTGGGTCAGCCAGTCAGGGCTGCCCTGTGTATTGCTGCCATCTGTCTCTGGCCAGTCTGAGGGAGCCTACAAAGTATGCTGAGATGTGTGCACAGAGGTCCCCAGACTGCACAGCATCAAAGCTGCAAGTTCCCTGCTCTAAGGGCACTCACCATTCAAATCTCTATTCGGGCATCCATTCCTAGCTAAATTTTTTTTTTTCCTATCAGAAAAACAAATTGGGGGGATTTCTCCCAGATTGTTTGAACGCAGAGTCCTTCCCAAACTAAGTTTTAAAGTTTTCAAACCAGTAAATAAGTGAGAGGAGAGAGCTTTAAAACAAATAATGCAACTTTGCTATCTTCAGTTTTTGTCTTTTATGTGGTACTGTTAAAGGAAAAGTGTCTGTTTTATGCATCCAGTTGAAGCTTCTGCATATAAATAACTGTCCACCCATTAACATTTACATTGCGTATTTGGTCTGTGAAAGTTGCTCCTGTTGTTTCTTTGAATATGCACCTATAACATAACGCTTGCCCTTCTTTAAATTTAGATCTAATCCAGTGCACAAATGAGATGAATGTGAATATTCCACAGCTGGCTGACACACTTTTTGAGAGGACTGCCAATAGTAGCTGGGTAGTAGTGTTCAAAGCTCTAATTACAACACACCACCTCATGATGTATGGAAACGAGGTAAGACTGATTACTTTGACAGATGCCTCGGTGCAATTAGTAACTGACAAAATGTAAATGTTGTACAGCAATGGCACTGATGTATTAGACTTTAGATGTACCCTTTCATTTTAGAAATAATGTGTTTAATGATCATTAAATTATTTCTCATTGGTCATAACTCATAGAAAACAGTGCTGTACGACACTAATTAGGAAACGCATTAAGTAGTTCAAATAAGATTTTATTTTAAAATGTTTAGTTGGGGAGATTGAGTTTTATACAATAGAGACTGAGCATGGTTCTAATGACCTTCTAAAATGGGAATACTGTTGTTCTAAAGTATAAAAGTAGACAAGACCTGTTAAAAGCATTTCCATGATTATATAGGTAACCTAGTATTAAGTGAGCATGGTTTTTAAAACAAACTGTGACTGGGATATGGAAATCTGATCCAGCACACCAGCTCCCAGTAGATCTCTGAACCCATGTCACACCTCTTTGCCAGTAAAATTCCTTTAAAAGCTATTTAGTCCTTCTTTGCATACTTTCTGTTAAAAACAAAGCATCAGCATATGATAGGCACTGAAGTAAAGAAATGTGACTGAGGCATATCTTTCTGGGAATATACTACCTAGGCTTCCAAGGATTGATTACCTTTAGAAAAGATAGATGTGGATATAGATTGTTCTGTTATTCTAAATTCTTTTTCTTCTAGTTTGTGTTCCAACTGTTATGGTTAACTCATTACTTCTAAGAAAACTGTCTGGTTAGTGTTTTAAACACTGGTTGCAGGTGCTGAACCAGCCAGACCTACTGAGAAATCCTGGTGAGCATGCAGTGTGCTGTAGTCCAGGACCTGGTCTAAGTGACAGAATGTGAGATTCCACCCTGGGAGAAGTGAAGTGAAGGCACAAAGCCTAATATCTGAGGTGCACTCTCAAACTGGAAGGCTCACAGGTGCAGCTAGGCCTGTAACTATGACAGCCATAATATTTTCTTGCTAAAAAGAGTTCTTATATAAAAACATCTACAGTATGGAAGCCATTATGGTGGGGCTATTGTTTGTCTAGAAAGTAACAAATAATATGCCTAATTGTTCATTAAATAATATCTCTTAAATTAATATGAATGTGTGTTTGTAAATATTATATGCACATGTGGTCTTGCTTCATCTGTTATACCAAAATAGTAATTGGTCAGGGTTGAACTGTTGGCCCACACTTGTCCTGCTTTTCAGTAATGTGTCTCCATTAACTACACAAACCTCAATATTCACAACTAACAGTGCTTTTCCTGGAGCTTAGTAAGTGAGAAGAACCTTTTCAAGTTGTTTTTCATAAGTATCTCTCTGTTTCTGCCATCTGTTTTAAATGAGGAGCAAAGATTGGTTTGTTTTTTTTTAGAGCATCCAGTTTTTTTGATACTGTATACCTACTTTGAGGTATTTAAACACCAATCTAGGAGTTGTCCAGTGCTCATGTTGCTGCATATATGGCAGTGAATTTTATTTCTTTAAACTAAACTAATTTCTTTCCTGGTTAGGTTATGTGATTGATATTAGTTTAAAAGTCTGGTGAATAGTTTGTAACTAGTTAAAGTATTGTAACTAAGGGCAAACACAGTTGCTGCCTCTAAAATTTCCAAACTATATGAAGCTGACTTGTGATCTAATTCTAAATGTATTATAGTTGGGGGCAAGGGAGGGGAAAGTTAATTACTCAAAAATAACTTTTTCCCCCCCACTCTTATAGCGCTTTATCCAGTATCTTGCATCCCGAAACACATTGTTCAATCTGAACAACTACCTGGACAAAAGTGCCATGCAGGGTAAGAATATTCATTCATGAAAATTAAATTGCAGACAATAAAATTATTATACTTTATGGATTGAAAGGTAACAAGGCAGCAGAATAAAGGGAAAACTTTATATAAAAATCAATTGATTTTTTTTTTTTTATTACAGTCTTAAATACATTTCTAGCTATGTCTCAGTTGCATAGCACTGTGGGCTTAGATAAATGAAATGGGGCTTACAGTGTATATAGCACTAAGCAGCAAAGAGTGAGGGTAAATGAAGAAAGCAGTGAAAGTTATGAGCTAGCTAAAGCTTTGTGCAGGTGAAAGACAAGTGCCTCTAAACTGAGATGTAGAACTAAGAAATGCAAACACTGATTCATCTGTTTTTGCATGGTGGCTGTGTTTCACAGTTAGAGGGTGGGTTAATATTAACTTTAAGGCTGCATAATGACATGTGAAACATTGCTGTGTAGCTAAAAGACCATGCTTATCTCTGAAGTGGTTTAGAGTTGGTTTACAGATGATAGAAAAAATAGTGTTTTATTATACAGTATTTGAGGCTCTAGAATCGCATCTCTTTAGTCCATAGCATTTTGTTACTTATCTGATCCAGCTGTTCTTTTATGGTATAGGATATAGAATAATTCCACTTTCATCACAGAAAATGCATTTCATTGTGGCAGTTTAGAACATGGCTTCAACACTACATCTCAAGGCTGGCATAAATAAACATGGGGAAGAATATGGCGAGGGGTTTCAGGAGTTCTACCATGTGAACTTGAGAGAATGTCTTTAGGCCTGTTGGATAATAACACATTAAGGAATAGTACTGGGAAAAGATTGTGAAAGAAAAGAGCTTTCTTCTCTTTGAAATGTCTAATGAGCAATGTTGATTTCCAGGTTATGATATGTCAACCTTCATTAGGCGGTATAGCAGATACTTGAATGAAAAAGCACTTTCTTATAGACTTGTAGCAGTTGACTTCACCAAAATGAAAAGAGGGTAAGAAATACTGTCATTTTGTTTCACACCCTATAAAGGACAGCAGTACTTATGCATGTGCTTGCTTTAAGATCTTCTTGCCTTGAACTGGAAGTGTGTATTAACATCAGGATATAGATGTCCTGGGTTGCTTATATATTTATAGCTTATTTACCATTTTACACTTTATAGGATAGATGGAGCAATGAGAACAATGAACACAGAAAAACTCCTGAAAACCCTCCCGATTATTCAGAACCAGCTTGATGCGCTCCTTGATTTTGATGTGAGCACTTTCTAAACACTTTTAAATTTCCACTTATGAAATAGGAAAAAATGCATTCTTTTGCTGCTTCAGTAATATTAATCTGCTATCTTCTTTTTCTACACAGGCAAATCCAAATGAACTAACCAATGGTGTAATTAATGCTGCCTTCATGCTCCTCTTTAAAGATTCCATTAGGCTTTTTGCAGCCTATAATGAGGGGATTATTAACCTGTTAGGTATGTGACATAAACAAACTTTTTTCGGGGGGGGGGGGGG